GATTTAAAACTTAATAAATTATTCTAATTAAAATTTTCAGAATATTAAAACAATTCTTGTAAAAATTTATTATTCCTAAAAACATTTCTATATTTTATTTATAGAAGTGATTAAAAGCTTTTCTAATTAAATAATGTTATAGTTTTATTGCATTTTTTATTTTATGATTCTGAGTAAATTCTCGGTAAATGGTGTTTCTGTTTTACAAGAGAAATTGACGATTTAAATTCTCCAAGGCGTGCTGCTTTTAATTAATATAAATATGAAGGAAGTGAAATTTTTCAAAATTTCATAAAATTAAGTTAAGTGGTGTGGTACAGATGCGAAAAAAAAAAAAAAAATAAATAAATAAAAAAACAATAAATAAATAAAAAAAAAACTGAAAATTTAATTAAAATGTGACAAGAATTTCCAAATCAAGGTGTTTTTTAATGGAAAAAAAAAAAAAAAAAAAAATTTCTCAGTAATTTTTTGTATAATATTTTAAGTATTTACTAATCTTAAAAATTTAGGAAAATATCCCAGGTAATCTGATATTTTATTGAATTTTAGGTACTTTGGCTTATAGTCTTACTTACGAAAACACTTTTGAGGAAATTTTAGAAAATTATCAATAAATTTTGAATTTACTAATATTTAACATTCTTATTTTCTGATAATGTTGTGTATGGACATCTGTATTTACAAAAAATGAGCACGTTTATACACACAAAAAAATTCAAAATTCTTTTTAAAATACTACGTGTCGATGAATTGTAGTAAGCTTTTCCATTCATAATTAGTAAATATACATAGCTTTTACTTAACAATATTACCTAACTGCTACAAATTAATACAGAATTTTAAATTCAAAAAAATTTAAAAATTTAAATTATTATCATTCAAATTTAAAAAAAAAAAAAAAAAAAAAAACAATTCTTGTAGAAATTCACTATTTATTGAAACAAATTTTTTTAGACGATTGTGAACAAAATAAATCTTATTCATAAAACTAAAAAAAGCAATTCTAATTAAATAATGTATTAGTTTATTAAAGTTTTTATTTTACGATTCAGAGTATACATTTTTTTTTTTTTTAATTGGAAGTCCTGTTTCACAAAGGAAATTAATTTAATTTGTAGAATCAGACTTCTACATTTGTTTAAAAGAACATTAAAAGTGGCTCAGAGCGAAACATTGACTCCAGATGAGAACTAACTAAAAATACTTCCTGATTGGCCAAAAAAAATCATAATTTCTCGTGTTCTCAACTATGTACGCATCATATTGGTTTAATGTATATGCTTAACAGATACAAAATTTGAGCCAAATTTCTTGGAGCCTCCCATTTGACTTGAAACATCATTCGACTTTGACAGTGAGTCTTACAAATTTTCTCAGTTTTACTCGAATACATGTCACTTATTTTACCAGGCTTAGTTAAATTTACTTAACATTTCCACATCTTGTGAAGTACACTCATTCAACTACATAAACCCAACAGAAAACATCAAGTGACACATTCAATCAAATAGAGACAACTTCATACACAGAACAGTAAGTCAAGTACAATATTACAAAATTCAACACAAAAAACAAACTGCTTAATTTTCCTACAAAAACAAAAATACCTTATTAAATTTACCCATTTTTCTACACACAATTTCTCAACTCTTAATATTAATAATAACTTCATAAACACTTCAATCCACACAAGAAAAACTTTGAAGCAATTTAAACAACTCTCAACATACATATTTGTACCGTTCTATTGGTTATATGTAAAAATATTTATTGTTGAACCAAAGTATTATTTCATATTGTTATTTCTCTTATTGTTGGTTTGCTTTTTGTTACATTTGTGAAATTAAAAAAGTAGTGGGTTTATTGCATTTTACAGATTGGTAAATGGTGGCATTAGACACTCCCTACCAAATTCTCTAAAAACTTGCCCTACAAAAATGAATTCCTTGAAATTTCATAAAATTAAATAAGTGGGGAGTGTTAACAGACGTAAAAAAAATAAAAATTAAATAATTCAATTCATCATACTTATTATAAAACCCAGTGTGTGTGTGTGTGTGTGTGTGTGTGTGTGTGTGTGTGTCTGTACGTTTATATATTGGCTCAGATTTCCTATATTTTTCAACCGATTTCAACAAAACTTCACAGGACTACATAAAATTACCTTTTGGTGGTTCTGACAGCGCCAAAAAATTGGAAAAACGCAATTGTTTTTTTTACGAAATCAATTTGAAAACACGATAAGAGGCATCAAGAAAATAAAGGGGACAACTCATATCGAGTTATACTTATTTTAAAACCCAGGTTGTTTGTGTGTGTGTGTGTGTTCGTTTATATATGAGATCGGATTTCCTACATTTTTCAACAGATTTCAACAAAACTTCACTTTTTTTTGGCAGGTAGTGTTTCTTATTGTCTTGCACACTTTCTTCTTTATTTTTACATTCAGAATGCTTTAAAAATTCCATTTACAAGACAATTGTTTATAATAAAATTCTATTCAATCGGTAGACTCATAACGATTGAAAACAATGTTTTTGTTTGAGTTTGACCAATTCGTAAAAAAAAAAAAAAAAAAAAACTACTATTTAAGACATGCATGTCCGTCACAATAATCTTTGTCAATTTTATTTTTCAGTCTTTATGATGGTTGATACTTGATCTATCTCTTACTGTTACATCCCCGGGTAACGCTGGTCTCTACTGCTAGTTTGTGAAAAAGTTCTAAAAGTTAATTAAAATCCAACAATTATTTGATTTTTGATCAATGTCATCCGCTGACGCAAGAAAAAAAAATTTAACCAAAATTTTGAAGGTTCTAAAAGGATTAGGAGAGAAAAAAAAAACTAACACTACAAAAATATTTTGCTAAAAAAAAGTAAAAACTAAAGCATTTTTATTGTTTTTTCTTTTTCCTCTCTAATAAATATTTTGACGATAAATCTTTGTTTTTATATAGGTAATTTTTGTTTGGAGGTAACTATATATAAACTAAAAAATTGTTTTATTAATTAATTTTTTTTTTCAGTGTTTCAGTAATAAAAAATATTAATTCAGAAAAGCGAACGAGAGAAAAGACTCGTTTCCTAAGTCATAGAAAAATCATAACTTTTTTTTTTTTTTTAAAGGTAGGATTTAATTTTTTATAATTTATATTTAAAAAAAAAATCTATTTTCTCTTTGACTTTTTTTTCTACCGAAGTTAGTAATTTTCTTAGTACATTGACTGATAACAACGAAAAGAAGAAAAAGAAGGAAGTTTTATAACTTTTCGAACATGATTTTTTTCTGGCTCATCTTGTTGATCATTAAAAGTAGTGAGTTCGGTCCGCCACACCGGGTACCGCAGCCTTTATGTCAAAAGTCAAAACTAAATTACAGTATGTGGCTTTACGACTAAAGGAAAATGAGTTGATAAAGAAAGACGATTAGTGATTTAAAGGAAAATTGAAATAATTATTTTCCAGTGTGCTAGCTAACTAACAGAAGAATTAAAGAATCCATTCATTACCGATTGTTACTTTTTATTAACTTTAGCAACAACACGACTAAATTTTTAACACTTGAGAAGTTAATAAATACCACAGATTATGACAATCACGACAGAACTATCATTGCTAACAAAAAAATAACATTTTACAAATACATTAACAGATTATAAGTCTTTTAGAAGCATTCAATGTCAAATAACAACAAAAAAAACCACACAGCCAATTCTATACCTTAATTCCCGGACAAAATCACATTAGCCGCCATTTCATATATGCTGATAGTTGATTGGTTAATTGTTATCTGAATGTCACCTACCGGTGCGACAAGGGGAAATAACTTAATTAGTTCACGTTAAATAATTTGCGCCAATGCTTTATGGATCAAGATTTAAGTTCAAAAATTCTATTTAGTAAAAATTGAATATGTAATTTAACTTGACCTTTAAAAAAAGTACCAGTAAATTAAATAAATAAAGAAAAGAGGGAAACGAATAAAGTTAATTTATTAAAATATGTAATGATGGGTTTGGTTTGGTTTTTTTAATTTAAGTAACTTTACAGTACTGCTTTACCTTTATGGTGTGGTGCGTAAAAAATTCCATTTATTTAAAATTGAATATATAATTTAACTAGACAGGTACATTAGGGGATTGGAAGTGCAAATTAATTAACCGAAGTCGAGTTCCCGTTCCAAGGACTCCGCCTTTGAGTTAGAGGTACCTGCTGCTCTAAGGCGTGCAATTTTATTTCTGACACCATTTTAATGTACGCGTACCGTGACTGTTAATTAATTGTGATCTTTTGTCAACAAGTCTACTATTATGTATGAGGAGGTGGGTAGTATAATAAAATTTCAAAGAGGAGGTTCAATTTTTGATACCCACTGCACTCCAGAAAGGAAGTGCCAAGAGAGGTTGACAATGTGTGGCACTACCCACATATATGCTTGTGAATTTTCACACTAATTATGACCTTGTGTCAAATCCAGAGTAGGTAAATAACTTATTTAGATAAAAATGACTTTAGGTTATCACGTGATTATTTTAATTGCGAGAACGAGGTCCGCCATTATTATCGGGGCAATAACAGGGGCATAAGGTCTGTGCGCTCACATGTTGAAAATAATAACAACAGCGTAGGCATTTAAAAAGAAATGTGATCTATTTTGGTCGTTTCTATTTAAGCTTGAAAGATCCCTCTTTTTCGATTCTTTTTATTCGTCTTTGTACATACTTTTAAAAATCGTAACCTGCCTGAATAATACGAAAAAGATAACCCGAGTTAATAAGCAAACAAGTTGCAACAAAATTTATTCAACAACAATATTTTTCGGAAAACGTTCTCACCAAAAAAATCCAAGATCAACACTGAGGCTTGTGTTAAAAAAAAAGGTTCAAAAATAAAAAATAACTTTGCACAGATTGACAACCATCGACTTTAGTGGAAAAAATCGTTACGAAAATGGTGAATACGTGTGCTGCAATGAATTGTACAAATCGAAACAACATGCGCGCTCGAGAATTGGGAATCACTTTTCACAGGTAATTTATTGGAAGCACGATAAGCACTAATCAAGCACTGCACTGGATAACATAATCGATTTCATTTAACCTACCTACCTACCTACCTACATTTATTTTTTGGTTATTGTTTATTTTATCGCTCCAAACAATTTCTTCACAACAAACAAATTATCTCCCTTGCATTTCTCTTAGTTACATTGTTTTTACCTTGCTTCATATTGTGAGATATTTTTGCGTTTCAAGTCACGCAACCAAAATAACATAAAAAGTTTCTGAAATGTAATATTGTTTATTTCAATAATATTACAACCAATTCTTCTTTTGAAATTCAAAAAATGAATCTGCAACAATTCACAGAAAAGAGATATTTTTTGGTGGTTCTTTAACTAATTCTCTAAAAATATAAATTTTCACAAACAGAAAAAAAACAAACAAAAAAAAACGTATGTAACTAAAAAATATAGACTAACTAAAAAATGTAACAATTTTTTTTACAAACCGTCTGGCTTTCTTTAAAATACACTTCTCTCAAAAGTTCGTGTGAAATTCAAATAACAGTTATTTATTTATTTACGCCGTTTAGTTAATTCAAATTCATTATTACTTTTAATTATTTTACACTACTAAAAAAATATAAATTTTTTATACGATAATCGAGAGTAGAAGAGAAGCACGCATGCATTTTCTAAGGACATTGTGTAAAAATGAATAACACTTTGTAGAGTTTTTTAGAAAGCAGTTTTTACAATGGTAGATTGTTCTACTTCCACATGCCATGCCTCTTCCGGCTGTCTCTCTATCAGTTATCTCCCTTTTAACTCAACTCTCCAAGTTTTTGTTCATTTCTGCTGTAGATTTTAATAATTTGACAATCCAAATTTTGGAAAAATAATCTAAGTATCATAATAACAACAACAATAATAAACAAATTAAATAATTACCATGTTTTGAAACATTGTGGATATAGCAACTGGGATGAGGATAACAGTCTGAACAATATAAATAGTGTAAATAATTACAATGCCTCATCTCAAAAATATAGACAAATATTGCATCAGCTTGAAATGAAGTGTTATCAAAACTTGTTTTCTGTATGATTGCCAAGGTTAAGCATCATTGAGCCTGGTCAGTACCTAGAGGGGTGACCTTTGGGGAATACCAGGTGCTGTAAGCTTGGATGTGTGGGTAGTGTAATGGATAATGGCTATCAATCCACCTCCTCTTCCTCTAGATATTGGTTAATTAGTGGGACTAAACCATTATTATCTCCTCCCAAATGAATCAAAACTTGTTTAATGTAATTATTTGTTATTTATTTTTAATGATTTGGTCATATTTAATAACTAAAAGATAGAGACCTCTTTTTCTTATGGCCTTGTACACTTCGAAGAAGGCCAAAGAATGGATTGGCTGAAACATTTTGGTAACAAAAAGTACAAAAAAGTAGATTATTACAATTTTTGGAATGATAAGGATTATTTATCTTTTTATAATAAAACTATGTCCAAGGTATGACTACATTTGGCAGCAAGGCCTCTGATTGGGAGGTTTTGAGGAGCATGGAACCACATCTTAATTGCTGTTCTTCTCATCTTTACCTGTTAGGGTCCCAGTTATGAGCAAATAGTGAACCTTGAAACTGGGGTTAAAACATGAAAATATAAAAATACATTAGAAAAAATTACCAGTGATACATTTTCATAGTGAAAAAAATAAAATTACTAGCTATTCATTTTTGGAAAAAATTTCCAACTTTTTGAATAATAACAACTTTTGAAATAATAAGGATTATTTAATTTTTTATTATAAAACTAACAATAAAAAATATGGCACAAAGTGAAATAATGAATCATCTTGAAATTATTGAAAAGTGAGGATGATTCGGCATCTCAAATTTTGGTAAAATAATAGGAGTATCATAGTACCAACAATAATAAACAAATATTTTGCAATAAACATTTCATAAAACAATTTATGAGAGAACAAGAAAGTAAATATCTTTTTTTTGTTTGTTTTTAGTGTAGAATGTATTTGTTTTGCATAGACTTTATAAGTGACTTCCTGCTTAAATCAAAAGTTCTTTCATTGAGCAGTGTGTGTTCAACTTCTGACCAGCTGGTTCAAAACTACTGTCTAGACACGATGTAGGGCCATTTTTATAGCTGACCATCTGACTAGACTGGAACTTTCTATGTATATTGCTGTCTGTGTGTAGGTGGTCTGTGTGGGTTTTGCTTTGGCTACTACTGCTTCCAGGTTGTGATGTTTGCAAAATATGGTGTGATTAGTGCGTCTTCTATTCAATAAAACTTTATTTTGTTAAATTAGAGATAATGTCCCTACAAAAGTATAAAAAGAGGATTTTAGTTAAATATCAAATTTTAATTATGTACATTTCTTTACTTAAAGGAACAAAAATTATGGATTTAGTACTTGTTTAAAAAAAAATGTAAACATTATTGAATCCAGCTCTAAAAGTTTATAACTTGTACAGATTGCTTCCACCTGGACTGTAAAGATGCTCACTAGGTGGCACTGTTTCATGTTTATAAAAGAATAGAAATAGCCCTTTCTTTCTCTTTTCTTTTTTGCTCTGAAATGTAGCAGCATCAGCTTGAGACTTTATCCTTGCTGGGGAAAATTACCCCCTCCCCAGAGTGGGTGGGGGGTACATAAAACATGCATTTCCTAATAGTTAACACGTTTTTCTTACTCATTTCCGCTATGTGTACATAGTATATTTTCTCTCTTTTGTGAATCGTGTTATTTGTTGTATAAAAATACATAAAAATGTCTCCATGTGTTGAAATTTATTACTTCTGAATGTTGAATTCAATTTCTCAACCTCTTCAACTTTGTTCCTCACAACCTCAAATTTGTAAATTCTCTATTGGTGAGTTGAGTGAATTTGTAATGGTTGAGTTTTTTGTTTTTTGTTTTTAGTCATTTCACTCCATGCAAGTCAATGAAGCCATTAAGACACAAGGTGGAGTGTGGGAGGAACACAAGAAAAAAAAAAGAAGAGAAACATTAGGGAGCAAGAAGAATAGAAGAGAAATCAAGGTGGTAATATATATCATATGTGGCAGCAGTCATCCAAGCATGGATGAATAGTAGACTTATAAATATGCAAAATAGATTCTAGAGAGAAAAATTATTTAGCAAGACACAATGATTCAACTTTTTTAGCAGCAGACCTAACAATGGTTTCAATATCGTCTTTCCACTTCATATCAGCTGATAATATTAGACTGAGAAGGTGCAATGAGTCACTCTCTTGGAGGTTAGCCTCATCTATACTGATGAGAGGCAGGTAAGGGTCTTTCAGGTAATTAATAGAGAGGAGTTTTGTTTTGGTGGTATTAAAATTAATTTGTCTATATTTCTGAGATGAGGTATTATGTACACTATTTACATTATTCAGACTATTGTCCTCAACCTTATTGCCATATTTCGGCCATTGTACGCTCAGGCCTTCTTCAGGTAGTTGGAATGTCAAACTGAACCCTTTATTTCACTTGCTGGGGTAGACTGTTCTAGTTCCATGTGCCATGTCTAATGGATGTCAGTTATAAGTTATCTCCTGTTAATTTACCTCTCCAAGTTCTCCAATGCCTAACCAGGTATTGAACTTACAACTCTTTGGGTCCTGTCACTGGATCTAACCAACACCTTTATCCACTGTGCCATGTGTCCTTAAGGACACATGACACAATAGATAACTGATAACTGACACCCATTAGACATAGCATGTGAAACTAGAACAGTCTACCCCAGCAAGCAAAATAAAAGGTTCAGTTTGACATTCCAATCACCTGAAGAAGGCCGGAGTGTACAGCAGCCGAAACATGATAAATATGGCAACAAAGATGAACACAATAGTCCAAATAATGTAAATAGTGTAAAATTAATTTCTCTGGGTATCGTTCAACTTCATCCTTGTTCATCATCATTTTTTTTTATCTTTATCTGCCCGTCTTCTTCATCTTTGAACTGTCTGCCATTATTAATATTTCATTAAAGTTTAATGCAATTAGGAAAACATTTTGCATTATAGATATTACCACAAAAGAAAAAGGAGAAAAATTCAAAGCATACCATTCAATTTAACACAAAAATAAAACATTTAAGTTTTGGAAAAATACAATGTTATTTGCTAAAGAGATGAAGTAAATTTTATTTTGTTTTAAGTATTTCAATATTCTAGTCAATTTCATTTACTTTATTTGTTTGGTGATATGATTACACATGTGCATGAAAAAGAGGGGATATGTAAATTAGATGTTTTTAATTTTTAAAATGTGTTTTGGATATGTAGTCTAGCTAATTTCATTTACTTTCTTTTTGTTTGTTTTTATCACTTTTGTTATTAAATATCTTGTGATAATAGAACTGCCAAGGAAAGTGTGATATTGTCAGAACCTGGGCATAAATTTACTGTGGGTGTAAAGCACTTTCTATGGAGAAAGATGAAAGCAATTAAAGCCAATATACAATAAAAAAGTGTCAACATTAAGTTATGTCATGCATGACTCAGTAATCAGATTTTGTGGGTAAAGAAAGTTTATGTAAGCCTGTGTGAACTTGGGTGTGTACCACTCAAAGTTTCTTTCTGTTTTTTTGACTAATAAATTAAGAATTCAGCTTCTATTTAAAGAAAATCGCTCATTCGAAACTGACGACTTGAAAACAACATTTTAAATATTTGCAATTAGCTCACAATTGATAATATTCTCAAAATAAATTATTTTCATATCTTCTATGTGGCGCCACTTGTGTAGGGATGAGTTTTTGATATTTGTATTGATGTTAAAGTGCAAATGTCCGTGAGGTGTCTCATGTGGGTCACTACACCTTGTCAGCATTTAAACTCGGTATGTCCACTTGTTCGCTGAAAAAACAAAATGGCATAATGAAAAAAAGCCCCAAACTTAATAAAAACTTTCACCAAAATGTTTATGTTGTTACTAAGAGGAAAGACCAAGTATTTTTTATTATTTTATTAATATTTTTAATCATTTTTGGCACATTTGAAATTTTGGTTAAAAATCTTGATTTTTTTTTACATCAGCACTTTATGTAATATTTACAATTAGTGTTTTAGCACTTTTTTTCAGGTGAAAAACACATTGATTTAGAAATTCTTTTAAAAATCAAATAATTCTCAGATTTTAATGAAACTTTCAGGACTTATTCACAAATGAATGAAATAATTTTTTAAATTTTCTTTTTTTTTTTTTTTTAACAAAATCTTGGTAAAAAAATATATATATATTTTTTTACATCTGTTCCCCACCACTTACTTAAGTGCATGAAATTTCAGGATATTAAATTTCAATCTCTAAATTTATTTTATTACTTAAAAACAGGACTCCTTGGAGAATGAAAACATTTTATGGTTTAAAGTTTAAACTTTAAAACATAAAATGTTTTGACGTTATTTTTAACATAAATTATCTAAATGTTTGTTTGGTTTTCCATTTTTTTTTTTTTGCTTATTTGGCTATCTTTATATATTATAGAAAATATATTATAGAAAATTAGACAAAAATTTACAGGACAATCAGAAAATTTCTACATGTCCTAAATTTCTATGTTCAGAAAAGAATAAAATCTCTATTTATAAAAGGCAGGATGTGTGTGTGTGTAATGAATGCATGGCCGCAATTTTTGATGGATTTGCACCAAAATTTACATGCACATGCTCCAAGTTAGCAGAAAGGCCAAGACCAACTTTGCATTTCCCAACCCCCATTGATAGTGGAAATAATCGATTTTTTCATGCTTCTATGGCAGTTTTCATGTAGTTTGCGGCCATTTTGTACTGGCCAGAGTGAGAGCCTATAGCTGGCTGACACGAATATTAACCAGCATGCTAGCGTGCAAAAAAAATTCGATAGTTGCATTCGTCACAAGTGGGAAAAATTTAAATCTGCATGTCACTTTATTCCAATTGGCTCATTCGCTTGCTTAAATTCAACGTTGATTCTGATTCCGCAGAACTGGGTTGGGTGTGAAAAAGTATTTGTTGTTAACATTCTTTTTTCATTCGGTTTTTCCATTTATGAGTCCTTTTTTAAAGCTGATCGTTTTGTGTTCATTTTGTTTAGTTCTTTTTTTGTAACAAATTTAATGTTTAGTATAGAGCTTAGAAAAAATTTGCAGTGTGAGATAGGCAAGAAGTAAGGCATGTAGCAACATCAGCACGGCAAAGGGAACTCCTTTAAAGGCAAGGAAGGGCAAAAATATTTTAAGTCAAGTGATAGCGATTGCTGTATGAGTAGAACGATTTTTGAATCAATCACGGGCAATGCCAGGCCATGCTGCTAGTTGTTAATAAATATGGATATGTGTGTTATCAGCATGGAAAATAAGATTGACGTGTCGAGTGCAAATTTAAGCTGAGGCTGTTATGTTCATTTTTGCATAAATACCTATGGAAAAGGTATGGATACATCCCCTCCCCCTGACCAGCTATGGGCAAACAGAAGAGCAGAATGGGCTCTCTAGCCTTGGATGGCAATCAACCTAGGAGAAGGATTGATTAATTTGTTTTTTATGACTTTTCAACACAGATCAACAATCTGAACTATGATTTGGCTTTAAAAGTGAAATCATAGTTCAGATTGTAACAGGTTCCTTACAGTACCTGGTGTTCCCAAGCAGTCACCCTTATAAGTAATGAACACACTCGATACTGCTTAACTGTAATTGGATGAGAACTAGTGTTTTCAGTGTGAGTTGACTGTAAGCCTTAGGAGAAGGAAAACTCTTAATTCAAGACCAGCCTCCTAATTTTCGAAACTGCTCCTTGGAGACATTCTCAGGACTATAAATAGGCATTGACATTCTCTGTCATTCTCTTTTTTTCCTTTTTCACTCGGGGGATGGTAAGATGTAGGTCAAATGAGGAAAATGCTTTCCCCATTGGGGAACATGCATGCACATACCCATCTTTCACTTTGTTTTTTATAGGACTTTCTCCTACACCAAACTACACACATACACACACACAAACAATTCACTAGTTTAAATGTTTTCTTTATTCATACTCATTGTTTTGTAACATGCAAAAATATTCTATTGTCTATGTATATCCTTGTTTTGTTAATACATACTTATCGTTTGCATATAAATATAGTTTTGTTGTTACTCTTTACACTTCTTTACATGAACTCACATCCGAGTCTTCCATGTTTGTTGTGGGCATTTCAGGAGACATATATGTTTATCTCTCAATGCATACACCGGCTTGCAACCAGCCTGAAGGGGGATGGATTCCCTTCAGTCTATCTTGCCCTAGACATACATACCACTGCTGTTATGGGTGCAGTACACATGGTGACCCTATGCAGCTAATGGGGGTAGGGGGCATGCAATGTGACGATCTATATTCACATCCTTTTTATGTTATTACCTGTTTATATTGTTACCTGTCATTATTCTGCTTTATTTTTTACCTGAAATTCCAGGTTTCCCAAGTCTTCAAAAGAACGAGAGAAGTGGACAATAGCAATGAAGCGAATTGATCTAAAGAAGAAAGATGTTTACTGGCAGCCCCACAAATATGATGTGCTCTGTTCAAAGCACTTTCTCAAGACATGTTTTGACCTCACAGGGAAGAGGGTTCGGTTACGTGAAGGAGCTGTGCCGAGTTTGTTTGATTTCTCCTTCCAAAATTCAAAGGTAAGCCTTATCAAAACTGAAGAGATACTTTGAAGAACATTATTAAGCCTTGTTTACATTCGGACTGATAGCCTTATCTTTGTCATTGTCACAATGTAGTGAAAGAGAGAATCACCTACCTCAAAAAAGATTTTGTATTTTGTGTGGAGTCTGCTGAAGGAGAATTAAAAAAAAAAAAAGCAGTTAGCAAAAATCTGCTACTTTAAGTATCAGAGATGCTATGCTAATTTTCTTTCCTTCCTGAATGGTGTGGCCAATCAGGAAAATTGCTTGGTGAATAAAGGCTGTTGTTTTTTGCTCACTGGGCGAATGATCTTTTTGGAGCTTGGTAGATGAATGTGTGTTTCTGCTGGTGAGAAGTGAAGATTGGATTTTTGACCCCATTTTATTGTTACTATGTTGGCTGTTGGACTGTTACGATGGATTTTAGTTTGAATTTTAAATTGGTTACAGATCAGAGACAAGAAACCTATTGCAGGTGCTAATTGCTACAATAAGTTTACAGTTGTTTTTTCTACTACACATGATAATTTCTGAATTTTTGAGATGAGAAATTATCATTATTTACATTTGGACTAATATTCTCATCTTTGTTGTTATTACTAATCCTTGAGGATTAAAGCTATAGTTTGTGAATTTGGTAGCATAATAATTGTGTGTTCACTCCCTAAACTGGGCAGTAAAAATTCAGATTCCATGAAAACAGTGCTAGCAATAAGTGAGCAGTACTCAAAAATAATATCCATAGATATGGACAAAGAGCAATCTGTATCTGTCTATACTTCTGAGATGAGGTAATATGTACATTATTCACATTATTCGGACTGTTGTCTTCATCTCTGTTGCCATATTGATTACAACATTTTGGCCGTTGTACACTCTGGCCTTCTTCAGGTGGTTGTAATGTCAAATTGAACCTTTTATTTTGCTCACTGGGGAGACTGTTCTGGTTCCACATTTAATGAATATCAGTTATCTCCTGTTAATTTCCCTCTTAAAGTTCCTGTAAATAATGATGATTTATCATCGCAGAAATTATTAAGCCTTGTTGGGTGGGGTTTTGGTTTATTTTTGAATATCTGAAAATGAATAAAGATGTTAGACAAATAGCAGTTCATCAATAATCAACTGCAATGAAAAATCCTCTTTTTTGACTTGATTGGGATAAAATTGTATGTTGTATTGTTTTTATTTAATTTTATTTTTCTCAATAAAATTTGATCTTAAAATGTTTTTTAGCATTACTACTTGAAAAATAAGATTTTTAAGTTTCAAATATTCTCATTAGTAATATGGTCATCTTAATTAGATTGCGTTGTCATTTGGTGATTGATTTTTGACTAATGTCTTATTATCTTTGATGTTTGTTTTATTGTATTTTAGGCACTACTTAAGTAGATGTCCATTTGTAAAAAAAAGATAAAAAATAGTGGAAACCTTTTTGAATGATAACAATACCTTGATCAACAATTTAGATGAAAAAAAATAAATTCTAGAATTGTTGTACTTTTTCCACTCATAGCATTCACATACCCAGTTGGTTAAATAAATAAATCACAAGTGGTAAAAATTGTTTACAAGCATGATAAAAAAAACAAACACATTAGAAATCTACATTGAAGAAAGGAAACATAAGTCAACAATTTGAAAATAAATTATTTTCAAGTTTGTTTGGTTGACTTTGTTTAGTGGTATGTCAACACCTATATGGACTAGTTAATGCCAAAATCTAAATATTTTGTATGCAATTTTATGAATTTAACTGCAGATATTTCATACATAATTTTATAATTTCAGAGTAAACGTATGTTTTATAGATATATAGTTTGTAGATGACCTATTGTAGGTGTTATGTTTTGGTATAAACCTATTTTTTTTAAGTGTTGGTTTCCTTGTAGTATTTATGTCTTACAGGTGCTAAGTATGTATATTTGGTTAAAATGTGTTTCACTGTACATGCAGCTTGGTATGTTGTACATGTTGTTTGATCTTCATCTTTCAGCGAGTATCTTTTTAAATTTGTACTTCTGTTGAGAATTAATATCCTAATTTGTTTTTCCAGAAAAAGCAATCAAAACGTTCTACCCCTGTCTTAAAATCAGTTACTAAAGAATCTTCTTACATTGCAAAGAAAAAGGTTGACCTTAGCCCCGTGCAAAACAGTACATCTAATTTAACAACAGTGGAAAAGCAGCATCCTGTTGACTTATCCCTACCTGCAAATTTGGTAAGATCAGTTTTTTTGACAATCTTAAAAATTTTATTTATTTTTTTTTGAATAGGAGTATATATGTTTGCCTATCACCCGATTCACATGCCTTCCCTGCCTTTTTAACAGGAGTAGCGGTTCATCCCTTGTTTCATGTTTAGGGTTGGGTTTCCAGTTACTTCTCATTTTATTCACCTCCAGTAACCCCTTTCATCTTTGTGGCTTTACTTGAGGTGAAATGATTAAAAAAAAACCCCAAAAACCATAAAATCTGTCATGTTCCTTCAGTACTTGGGAAATCATGGATCTCCACAACTTCCTATTTGTAGCTCAAAACAATATTTATCTCCTTACTATCTCTTCCAGTCCCTGTTCTGCCATCAATTTACATAAACTTTTGTTAGTTCATTTATTCTGTCTTTCTGTTCTATGAGCATCAAATTCAAGTGTCCCCAAAATTTCAATTGTCTCTTTTTAAATACAAGTATCCTTTTTGTTTATATTTTCCTTAAAGCTTTATCCTTTTTCACAATGTCCCGTCCATTGTATTCTCAACATCTTTCTGTAGAACCATAATTATCAAATCGCAATATTCAATTAAAAAGTAATTTTTGAAAACGTCAGCAAGGGAGCTAACTCTATAAATAATTCTTAGTATTCTCCCTTGCATCGGGATTACGAATGCAGTCTTAAAAAAGTAGTTTGCTACATTTTTCCAAATATTAGTACTTCTAATGTATAGTTATTTTATTTAATGTATAATCATTTCTCAGTTATTGGAAGATTATTTTAAAAGTTGAGTTAATGTTTAATTCCTGTAATTAAAGGAACGATGACATTACTGTAATTTTACAACATAGGCTGCTGTAGCTGCATTTTTATAGAATCTTTGCATGACTGTTCTGGTCCATTTTGAGAAAAATAAGAAATTGCCATTTACTGAAAATAAACAAGTATGATGGGGATTTCTTATGGGTGCAATTATTTTGGTTGTGATCAGATCCTCTAAATGACAAACAACGGATTTATTTATGATTGAAAATAACTGTAGTTTATAATGATATTTCACAGCTCTTGAAAATGTATATATATATTTATATATATATATATATAATGGATTTATTTGTAAAGACATGCAAGTATGGAAAATGTGTGTATATATATATTTTATGGTATATATATATGGGAGGAAGACAGATCAAAGTCAGCAGTAAATAAATCACAATTGGATCATGATTAAGTCAATTTTATAAGAAATTTGGGATATATTTTTGATATATATAATTGATATATATGGTATTTTATATATATATATATAATAATTGTGTGTGTAAATATGTTTAAGACATATATATAATAATATATAATTAAGTTGTTAAACCTGAAAGTATTAAATGCTTATATTTTATATATATATATATATATATTTATTTAGTTGGATTGATGTGAGTTTGTGACCCTGGTTTCATGCTATTTGCAATTGTCAACAAACGGATTAATTTTTTAAATTTGGATTTATTTATGGCAAAATAGGTTTCATTAAGACATATAAGAATACCTTGGAAACATATATATAGGTTGATAACAGGCAATGTAAATTTTGTAAAGATGTATATGAGATAACCATATATATGTTTATATATCAAGAATGATGTTAGAAAAAATGGAAAAAGTTTTCTTGTGACACGCTTCATCCTTTAGGACTTCATCAGACGAAATTTGTTAGTGCAAATACACATGTGCATATTTGAGGGATGCTGGGAATTTAAAATTAAAATTTATTTTTATCTTTTCTTTTTATTGAACTGATTTCATTTAGATTCTTCTTCTTTCCTTCATTTGTGTTAGTGGAAATCCTTCCACACTGTGTTAATAAAAGTTCTGCCTGGGACATTTTACAAAACAATACATCAAATTCATTGGTTGCTGTGATGTTCGCGCGAGTATAAATAGAACCCGCTCGGTTGAGGTGGGAACTCTTCAGTATAATGCAAACCTGGCGACGAGGATGTAACAATTCAACAAGCTTCGAATTAATGAAACACTACCCCCTCAACAGGAAAGGAAAAAATACTCGAATTCAACAACAACATGAGTAAAACTTTGAATTAACAGCAAAGGAAAAAAGTACTTGAATTCAACAACAACATGGGTAAAACTTTGAATTAACAGCAAAGGAAAAAAATACTCGAATTCAACAACAACACGAGTAAAACTTCAAATTAACAGCAAAAAAAAAAAAATACTCGAATTCAACAACAACACAAGTAAAACCTCGAATTAACGAAACATTACCCCCTTAACAGCAAAGGAAAAAAAAAGTACTTGAATTCAACAACAATGTGAATAACAAACTTCAAAAATAACAAATTGTTTTGAAAGAAATGGCTCTCTCTATGCCAACAATAGAGCCCCTAGACTGGGAAGACTCCAACCAGGAGCAAGCATGGAGAGAATGGAGTGAACATATCATAGATGCATTTACAGCGTTTAATATAACAGATGAGAAACGACAACTATCACTTTTTCGATTTTAGGGGAGGAAAGAAACTGAAAGATATCCTGAAAACCTTAACACCGGAGATACCACCAGACCAAGTAGTGCCTACATACAAGACAACAAAAATAGCACTGGACGAATATTTCATCCAGAAAACAAATAAAGTCTTTGAAAGACATAAATTCAGGATGCTTAGTCAAGAAAACGGGGAGTCAACACATTACTATGTCACCCGTCAAGGAGCAAAATGCAACTTTGGCGAATACAACCTGGTCAAGGCTATAGTGGACCAATTAATAGAAAAATACTTGTCAAGCAAATTACGCCGTGCATATTTGAAAGAAACTGATTTAACAGTAGAGTAAGCACTTCAAGGAGCATTCATATTTGAATCGACTGAAACACAAGCTAAGCAAGTAAAAGAGAATGAAAGAGAGCACTCAGATATCCACAAAATTACAACCAATTACAAGCAACAACAACAACAACGAGATAACCGTGGGTATAGGAAACTATCCATGGACAACAACCCATTAAAAACAGTTACAAAATGCTATGGGTATAATGGCTCCGACCACATACATGGTCAAACAAAATGCCCAGCATTTGGGAAAAAATGTAACTACTGTGGAGTAATAAATCACTTCGAAAAAACATGCTTAAAAGAAAGGAACAGTGATAAAGGGAAAAACGAAAATGTCAGACGGCCACAATTACGTTCAACCAGTATCGACGAATCCGAATAATGCAGACAGCCAGACATTTGTTTTTCAGGTGAAACCTATTCATTCAGCAGATAATGAAATTGTCCATATTGACGATGTACCAGTCGAAATATTAATAGATTCGGGAGCAGACATCAACCTTATCGATGGCAAAACATTTAAAGAAATCCTTAAAGTATGGCCAAACTTAACATTAAAAGAAACAAATTGTAAACCAAAAGCCTATGGGAATATTCCAATATCACTAAGAGGAGAATTTTTCACAGCGCTGACAAATAGTCCCAGAAGAAAAGCCCACAAAGTATTCGTTACAAAGGCATATCAAGGTGGTAACATATTAAGTAAGCGGGCCAGCATCGAATTAGGGTTTAATCAATTACAACAAAATCGATTACAACAAAAAGTATCCCAAAATCAACAAAAGAAATTCTAGATCGACACCTACCCTTGTTGGAAGGATTAGGAAGAATGAAAAATTTCCAACTCAAAATTAGACTAGATGACAACGTTATACCTGTTGCACAACCGCCAAGATGGACACCATTTCATATCCAACAAGCAGTAGAGGAAAAAATCAATGAAATGCTAGAAAATGATATCATCGAAAGAGTGGAAGGACCCACTCCGTGGGTCTCGCCATTAGTAGCAGAACCGAAACCAAACGGAGAAATTAGAATATGTGCTGACTTGCGTGTGGCAAATAAAGCAGTGAAACACACTCGCTATCAAATACCAACAGTTGAACAGTTACTGAGTGAAATTAGCAATGCAAACGTTTTCTCAAAAATCGACCTAAACTCTTATTACCACCAAATAGAACTGGATCCTGAATCTAGGGACATCACTATCTTTTCATGCAAATCTGGAATCTACTGATATAAGGTACTGGTTATGGGCATTGAATCCACAGTCGAAGAAGGGCAATGATTGCTTCAATAAATCCTTCAGAAAATCCCTAACTGCTACAATGGGGCAGACGACATTCTAGTCTGGGGCAAAGACACAAGAGAACATAACAGAACCCTAGATATGGTATTAGGCACAGTGAAAGAAAACAACGTCACAATTGCAGAGCACAAAAGCATATTCCATAGTGAAGAAATAAAATTCCATGGTTTTATAGTGTCCAATACAGGGATCAGACCGACTGACTTGAAAATAAAAGCAATCAGAAATTTCAAAAACCCTGAAAACGTCCAGGATATACGTAGTTTCTTAGGTCTAATCAATTACCTCGCAAAGTTTATTCCACGACTGGCAACACTCAGTGAACCATTAAAAAAGTTAACGTGAGCAAACATGGAATGGCAGTGGACGGAGGAAGAAGAATCTTGTTTTCTCATGCTGAAGAATGCAGTCATTCAGAGCAAATAGATCATGTACTTTGATCCAAAACTTCAAACATCTGTTATAGTAGATGCCAGTCCCATGGGACTAGGAGCAATACTTTGTCAAAACAAACAAGGGATATTCATCCCCATTAGCTATGCATCCAGGACTCTAACCGAAGGCGAACACCGGTACTGTCAATTAGTAAAAGAATCCCTAGCAATTGTATGGGCTTGCAAAAAATTCCACTTTTACCTTTATGGAAAGAACTTTCTTATAATGACTGACCATCAAGCATTAACAACTATCTTCAATCCTAAAGGTAACCCCTCTGCGTGAATTTTGCGATGGATTTTACGTCTACAACAATATGATTATACAATAAAACACATTAACGGTAAAGATAACCCGGCAGACATACTCTCTCGGCAACCTATGAAGTATCAAAAAGTAGTCTCACCCAAAGAAGAGATTGCCGAAGGATTTATCAACACGGTTGTAGCTAACAGCATTCCAAAATCAATTACCTTATCGGAAATAATGGAGGAATCTCAGTGGGATCCAACCGTCACAGCAGTGAAAAAGGCAATACAACAAAACGACTGGACCAATAAGTTAACAGAACCCTTTAAACATGTGAGGAATGAACTGACAACAAAACGAGGCGTAGTCATACGTGGAGCCAGAATTATCATACTCCCAAACCTTCAGAAACGAACCCTGAAATTGGCACATGAGAAACCTGTGGGGATAATGAAAACAAAAGCCCTGCTCAGAACTAAGGTATGGTGGCCCAGTATAGACAAAGACATAGAGGCTGCCATAAGCTGATGTATCCCGTGCACAACATTAGACACAAAGGGAAACCACTGTCCGGTGCATATGGCCTAAATGAAAGGCCCCTGGGAAATACTCCACATAGACATCTGTGGCCTTTCCCCAGCGGGGATTATGTAATCGGAATAATCGATGCGTGATCAAGATGGCCTGAGGCATTTGTTACCAAATCCACCAGGGCTGATACAATCATATCGACAATCCAAAGGTGTTTCTATATACATGGCATTCCAGCAATTATCATTTCAGATAATGGACTCCAGTTCATATCCTCAGAGTTTAAGCACTTCTGCAAAGAATGGGGTATCCAACACCGAAAGGTAACCCCTTATCATCTCCAAGCTAATGGAGAGATCGAGCGGTTCTTCACAACCATGTTGAAAGCCATTCGGGCGATGAACACAGAAGGAAAGAACTGGAGAAAACATGTAGGAAAATTCCTAATGTATTACCAAAATAGTCCACATGCCATGATGGGAGAAACTCCAGCTGAGCTACTCATGGTTAGGGAAGTAAACATCAACATACCAGGATTACAAGAAGAGGCCTGAAAACCAAGCGTGGAGAACAGCAAAGACAAAAAGACAAAAAAGAAAAAGACAAATTGAAAAATCGCACAGATCAAAAAAATAAAGCTAAACAAACTAACGTAGAACCCGGAGATGTCATACTACTTAAACAAAGTAAACACAACAAGCTAACGACAGTTTACCACCCAACACCATGGAGAATAAAAGAATGCAGAGGCGAATCTGCAATTATAACATGAGGTGACAAACTTATTTTATGACACACATCACAAATGAAAAGAATCCCCGAAGACAGGACTCGCCAACAACCAAGGGATGACGACTTCCCTTTCAACGACGACCTTGGGGAGCAGAAAGATATAGAACATGAGAGAAAAAGTGAGGAGGAGGAGGAGAAGGAAGAAGCAGATATTCCTATAGCCCTAAGATGACCAAAACGCCATATAAGAAAACCCCAAAGGTATGCAGGTAGCAGTTTGGAAGAAGAGGGAAACAATCTGAATACAAAGGAGGGAGCAGATATGATGTCCGCGTGAGTATAAATAGAACCCACTCGGTTGAGGGTGGGAACTCTTTAGTATACAGCAAAGTTGCACGCAGTAATGAGACTTAACAAAATTTTTGTCATAAAAAATGCTACTCTAATCAAAAGAGAAAACAATTCACTACAACGTAAATGTCTAGAGAATGCCTTGATTGCAAAGTTATCCACAGTAAATTTATACTCTGGCTCTTATAACATTTCACCATTCCTGGCAGATCTTTTATTGTCATATTATGGGATATCTAGTCTGAAAAGTGATGAACAAACAAGAATTTAAATGAAATTGGCTAGATAAAAAAAAAAAATTAATTTGAAATTCCTTGTTCGTGCATGTGTGTAGTCACACCAACATAACAAATTTAGTCTGATGAAGTCCTAAAGAATGTAATGCGTCGCAAGAAAACTTTTTCCATTTTTGTCATACATTTTTCCCCTTGTCTGCAGCAGCAGATGTGTTAACTAATTTGATCCTGTACAATGAGGATAACAATTTTACTGATCATGTCTAGGCATTTAATGAAGGTCACTTAGTAGGTTACTTACCTATTTTTTGTTCTGTTGCTTACTGTGGCATACAAGTGATGGGATGTTTTGTTTAGGTTTCTGCAGAAAGAAGTGAGTTTATGCCTTTCCCAAGTATGAAGTGAATGACCTCAGATGGAATTCAAATTTGGTTGGATCATTTTGTTTTCTCTTCCTAGACTTGCATTTCTCAGAAACTCAACAGGAATATGCTCTCATATGCCTAAGACAAGGAAAGGCATTATAATAATTTGTAGTGATCAGTGTCAGCTGATATCTTGTTAAATAAAAACATCCGAGGGATATTACAGAAATTGTTTCAGATGGTTATTATCTTCATTATCAGTTAAGTTGACCTCACAAGAACCATGTCAAATGATCCTGATAAGGAAGGTCACTGAGTGGAAAAAAATCCCTGGTTTCTTGATAAATTGCTTTTTTAGATAATGATGACAAGACAACACTGTTCTCTATAAGACTGTGGTTCCTAGAAGCAACAGAGAGTATACAGAAAGGGATGAGACATTATTTACCATGACATGAAAAGGAAGACATGCCCATTAGTCTGTTCACCCCCTCGTCTTTGCCTCATATGTCTACAGAAGAAGGTTACACCTGAATTAAATTTACTTACTGCTACAATTGGTTCATGGTTTTATTTCATGGATAACAATCTGGTTGAAGAGTTATTTTTAAGCCACAAGCATTTGACTGGAAAAAGCTGCATCCTGAGAACAAACCTGGTGTATGGACTGCGCTACAGTACTATGAATTGTGGGGGTATCAATATGTAATAAATGGGAAGTGGAAGTCTTAATAAAAATGGTGGTTGGAAAATTATTTAAAGGGTCCAAAACTATGAAATTAAAAACAGAGTAGTCTTATTAAGTTCAGTGCTATTGAAAAATTTCCTCAAAAAAATGTTTTCTGTCAGGCACATAAGACTATGGAATCCTCCATATTTGCCTGTCACCCCTGAGGGAAAATGCACTCTTCCCCCAAATCAACTTTAACCAATCATTACTTCACTTTTTCAAACTTGACTTCTCATTGGTTAAAAGGACCCAAAATATGTTGCAAGTTGCAACAAATCTGTTTTCCCGCTCACCTATCTGGAACCGGTTTGAAACCCCAAAAATCAATAAATAGGATCGCTTCACTTGATTCATACAGTCAGTAACTAAGTCTTTGAGAGATGCCAACAAACTCCACACATGCCAGCACACTGACTCAACAACCACCACTCTTTCTCAGCAGCTCAATACAACTCAGAAAGTCTTGCCGCGTGAATTGACCCAACTTACAATTTACTAGAAAATAGTGACATTATCACTACCGAAGTAGTAATTGTGTATTTAATCAACTTACATATCAGTCAAAGGCACATAACTCCTTATGACTTTAAACAATATTTACATTTGTCATACACATACACACTAACATCTGAACCCACACAAGTGACATTTCACCTTGCAGAAATCAAACTGTTTTAATTTCATAGACAAACCTTAACTACAAGCTTTCATACACCAAATCACTCCTTACAATTTTATCTCACTTATCACATTGAACAAGCAATCTTAAAATTCACTTGTGTATATCAAACTTATATAAATGCATGTTATTTGTTGAAATCTATAACTACGTTGTTTCTCCTTGATTTCATCCAATTGAATTGCCTTCAAATGTTTATTTTATTTGTTGTGGATGAATGTTTAACGAACACACACATTTTTAAGCCTTCACACAATTAAACCTTCTGATACATCCAATTAGCTCAAGTTCCGCAACAAGATTAAGTAATTTATTGAATTTTTAGATATTTTATTTAGAACATGATTAATTTTTTAAATTTATTTTTTAAGAATAAATTTTTAATTTTTGAATTAAATATTTAAGTAATTCCTAATTTCTGAATTTTTTTCTCATCTTTTTTTTTATGCTTCTCTTTTCCAATTTTTGCTTTCATAAAAAGTAAGACTTTTAATCATTTTTAATTCAGTGCCTGTCGCTAATGGCAAGATGATCAAATTTCAAATCTAAATTGCTTGTCCATTAAAAATATTTATAGAAGATATATTCAGTTTAAATAAGGGATCATAAGAATGACTTTAAAAGATCAGCTTATGCTTATTTTACTGTTACCCAAGGATTGTTGTTAGAAAGAGAAATTAGCCTTTGCTACAATGGCTGTTTGTAGATGAATTCTTTATTTTCATAAAAATTGGAAATATCTTTGTAAAAATAATTAATAAGAAATCTAAATAATTTGCTAATATGCTATGTTTTTGATAATTCTCTTTAATTTTTTTTTATATGATTTTATCTATTTGGGTTAGGATCATTCCTATTTCTTTATGGAGACGTTGAACTTAAAGCATAAACAGTCTGATACTGAAAAAAAGCATTCAGGTTTAAAAATGGACAAATGCACCAAAAGGAATTCACTGCGTCGTAGGAGAAGACAAACACAGAATTCCCAAAAGGTTGAGTCCAAGGATGATAATGGTAAATGCAGTTTGAAATCATTTTTGGAGAAAGCACAAGAATCTGGAATATTGAAGAAATGTTCTCAAGAATTACTGGAGACTTTTTCAAGTAGGTTTTTTTTTTTTCTTTTCTACTTTTGCATAATTAATTTAAATAGTTATACAAAAATACAAATAAGTGTTGTTTGTATTTTGTAAGGAAGTTTGCTGTTTCGACTTTGAATTGTTTGAGAAGTTATTCCGCTTGGTTTAATTGAAATAGTACAGGGTGTGGCAGAAATATTTCCCACATATAACTCCCACTTTATGGTAAGACATTAGTGGTAATGGTGATTTCATCCAGCTAATGTTTTACCATTATGTGGGAGGTATTTCTACCAAACCCTCTATAATTTAAAAATTGTCTAATTTTTGTTATAAAATTTACATGAAAATTGGATTTTCATTTATAACTAATATTTTAAAATAAGAATCAATTTTAATGATATTAATAAAAATGTGACTCAAGCATGTTTATATTGGGTTGGTTTAAAAGGTTGTTTTTGTTGTTACATCTTATTATAATTGCTTAGTTTTAATTAACTTTATTCAAAAAGGTTGCTTTTGATTGCATTGTGACAGCTGTCATATCAGTGTGCTTCTAAAAAACATTCTCAAAATTGGCATATTTTTGTTTATTGAGTCTGAAAATGGAAGAAAAATAATATTTCTGGTGTAAAATTTTTTTTATATTTTAGGAAAGGTAAAAATTCAGCTAAAAAAATCCATATTTGTACAGTTTGTGCGTAATGTAGTATGAATGATTAAGCATATTAAACTTTTGTTTTGGAGATTTCCAGGGTCAGGTAAACCAGTTGAAACTGATAGCGATCAAATAAAGACCATACTTGAGACTAATGAATGTTATATGATGCAAGAAATAACCAATATACTAAAAATATCCAAATGAAGTGTTGAAAATCATTTGTACCAAGTTGGTTATGTTAGTTGCTTGGATGTGTGGCTTCCATGTGTGTTAAGAAAAAAGAGCTTATAAGACATTAAATACTTGAATTTTTTCAGACTGTTTTTCTTATCTTGGTTGTTATAAATGTTTTGACCAAGTAGCCTCTGGTTATCATCAGGTGTCTATTGTTTGGGCTGATATCGAATATCTATTAATTATTGTGCCTTTTTTTGTCTCTGTGATGTCACTTATACCAGAGAGTACTTGGCCAAAACATTGTGTCTATAATAACATCTATGACAACCAAGATGAGAACGATAGTTTGAAATAAGTATTTTGACAATTACCTATCTCAAAATATAAAATACAAAATTATCAAAAAGTAGTTCAAATCAAATGTTAAAACCGTCTGTGATTGAATATAAAGGCTCCTAAAATACACCATTTTAGGACTGGTGTAGTGGGTATAGGAATTATGCTACTGGTTGTGTGTTCAATTCCTGGATCAGGTAGTGAAACACAACAGGTATGAACAATAATTTCATCACATGGAAAAAAATGATAATAACCAACAGGTATTCCATATCAGCTAATAAAATGAACACCTGATGAAAGCTAGTGGGTACTTGGCTGAAACAGTGTGTCTATAACAAATGAGATGTAAATGATGTTGACAATTACTCATCATCTCAAAAAATGAAATACAAAACTACAGAACTTTATTTAAATATTCCAAACAAATTGTGATGGGCAAAGTGGCTATACAACAATGTAGAACATCAGAGATCTTAGGATAAACAAAATGAACAACCACTAATCCTACCAAATACTGATGGTGGGATTAGAAATCTTTAAACCCAAACTCCTTCCAGAGAACTAAATGAGTGGTTTGAATGAATACTGCTACCATTTAGATCAGAAGAAAATAGCAATGGACCAAAAAGTAATTGGCCCTCATATGCAGTCACTCTCTCACAGATGTGCTGTTGCTTCCCTTTGTCTTTTTCACAAATACTTTCACGATAACTGTTCTGATGAGCTGCTTTCGCTGGTTCCCAGACTTCATGAATTTAAGTGTTCAACTAGGCTGGCATCTCGCTCTCACCCTTTCACTGTCAAAACTGTAGCCATCTCTTCTACTCCAATAGCTTCATGTCTCGCACTTCTCGCCTGTGGAACTCCCTCCTCATTTCTTGTTTCCCTGATAGCTATAATCTCCAACTATTCAAATGTAATGTCAATCAACGTCTCCAGATGTCTTGATCTATCCCCTATCCTTCTCTTCATCCTTTCCTCTATCACTCCTCTTTGCTCTCGCTCCAACTCTCTGTAACCTCCTTGCTTGGGGTGAAGAAAAAAAGATTACTTAAAAAGCCTAGCAAAAATTACTACAATTTGGCTGTGAAGAATTCATTCACCAAATTTACCAGATATTGTACCCTTGGATTAATATTTATTCTGGTCTTTCCAGAATTGTCCTAATGTGAACAATTTTAGTTCCTTGAAAAACTGCAAAAGGCACTTAGAGTAGGTCTTTGCTGAGAAAGATAAAAAATTCTGAGAGGATAGAATCATGAAGTTGTTTGAAAGATGCCAGGAGATAGTAGGACAAAATGTGGAACTTTTGTTCAGTTGAAAATTAAAAAAAAAAGAAAAGAAAAAAGACTTTATTTTTATATCAGAAACTGAGAAAAAAAACTTTTTGTTACCAATATATTGTTTCTATTAATTAGAATTTACTTTTCAAAGATTTTACAAACCTCAAAATATAACAAAGGACATTTGTTACAAAATGTTCTTTTATTGTTAATGAGAATATTTTCTGTGATAAATATATAACTACAATTTTATCTGCAGGTTTCATGTCCTCTATATCAAATACTGAAAATAAGTAAAAAGCATCAAAATAATTTAAAGTGAAGTTTGATTAATATTTAAGGCCAAATTAGATGTTAAAAATGAATTCTATATTTTCCAAGATAATATCAAATCAAATCAGGTCAAATATAAGATCTGAAGTAATTTGAATGGTAAAATTCTCTGATATTAACAATTTTTGTAAACCTTTTTTAATGTGCTGATGAATTTTAGAAAAAGATTTTTATTTAATTGAAAATATTGGCATTCTCAATAAAATACTGAATATGCCTTAATAATTGATATCATGAAATGTATGAGTCCTCTGAAATTTAACAAATCACATCTGCACATTGTATTAAAAAATATATATTTTTAATATTTACAACAAGAAAAATTATATCTATAATATTTATACCACTTAAATTTTTATATTTGATATGGAATGTCAGGTAATTTCTTATTTTACACCAGAGTGCGTATGTGCATGTATGTAGGTAGGAGTATGATGAAACAATCATTGATATATAGACACACCTACTTTACAAAAGGAAGAATCAGAGAAAACAAAAAAAGAAACACCACTTGACTTACTTTTTGACTATATCAGTCCTGATATGAAAGTGTCAATTTATACCTGATCATTATGGCATAAAAATGTATAAAAACAAGTTTTCTAATTCCTGCTATACTAGAAATACATTAGATATTCAAGTCTGTTACTTTTTATAACCCAGGATATTGTTTGTTGATGACAATATTGATAATTATATTAAAAAAAGAATTGTATAAAACAAAGGATATATTAAGATGAAAACTGTTGACCATGGTATTTCTGGAAGATAATGTTTTTTTAGGCAAGCAGTTTTTGTAATTAAAGTGTTATCGGAGAAGAGAGAATTAATAATAATAATAAATAAATAAAATGATTGAGGCATCCCCATAAGGAGAGGTGTTGAGGAGGCTTAGGTAATTTTTGTACAGTATTGCCATTAAATCCACTTTAAACTGACCTTGTATCACATTCAGTTGTGATGTGCTGCACTGAAAAATATCCCTAATCTCAATAGGAAAATAATATTCATTAAAATGTTGTTTCTTTCATTTCATTCTCATTTTCTCATACATAACCACTGACCTAAACAATGATTAAGTGCAATGTTTCCATTTTTCACTGGAGGTAACATTGTCAGCATTTGAAATCATTGGTGATTTTTTTCCCGAAGGAAGATCATACATGTAAATATTTTTTGTTTCAGAAACAGGAAATGTCAATGATAATTGTTTTTCTCTAGAGAATAAATATATTTCTTCTTTTACACATATTTTTGTGTTTTCAGTTTAATAAATTAGAAACAAATCACACACATGCATCATGTGTTAATCACGCTGTAATCAGTGACAATATTATACCAAGACTTCAATTTTTGTTTTAATTATAGAAGGAATCTTTTCTTTAAAGAAAAAAATTGACTTTTCCCCATTTCTAAGGTAAATGCTTATGTGCATTGGTCTTTTGTTGGGAAAATGGCTGCAGTATTTTAATGATAAAATTACATTTTTTAGTAGTGCAGACCCCATGTAGTTCATTCAGCCCCAACTGTTTGAAAAAATTGACCAAAAAAAAAAAAGAAGCAAGGTGAGAAGAGATAGATGTGTGTCTTTTCCAAGGTTATTTACAAGTCAGTGAATTATTTACACAATTTATATTTGAATTATTGACCTCATTTTTGTTGTTATAAATCATTCAAATATAAATTGTGTAAATAATGATAACTACTTGTCCTAGAAATTCAGATGAAAAAAACTGTATATAAAGCAACTTGACTGGAATTTGAACTCCACTCTCTGATTTCTCATTCTGAGCTGCTAGCCATTACACCACTTGCAGATCCAAGTAATATATAATACTTTTAATATATCTTTTATCTATTACCAATAAAATATGAGGTGGTGTTGAAAAGTTTTTTGCTTGCCCCACTACGAAAAATCACATCAAATAACCAAACATCTGAATTTTAGGGAGAAATTCTTTTTTGTTGGGTCTGGATCTTTTCAGTAGCATTTACATTTAATAGTACAGTTATAGATGTTTATTTTTAAATTTCAAATATATAAAGATTACCTTGATTGCTAAGAATGACAAAATCTCAAAAGAGAAGATTATTATAATAATTCTTTATAATATGCTAATATAATATAAGATAAAGAAAATATAATATAATATAATATAATAATATATAATATGAATAAATATAAATAAAATGTATAAAATATATATAAAATAAATATAGATAAATAAATAAATATATATAAAATATAAATATAAATAAATAAATTTATATAAAAATATATAATATATATATAAATTTAAATAAATTTATATAAAAATATATAAAATATATTTAATATATATAAAAATATAAATATATATAAATATATATAAAAATAAATAAAATTATATAAAAAATAAATAAAATATATATAAATAAAAATAAATTTATATAAAATAAATAAAATATATATAAAATATATATATATAAAATATATATATATATATATATATATATATATATATATATATATATATATATATATATATATATATATAAATAAATATAAAAATAACATAAATAAGAAAATATAAGATAAATATAAATATAAGAATTATAATTATTACCTTGATTGGTAAGAATGACAAAAGAGAAGATTATTATAAAGGTATCATAGCTTTTAATAAATTTCTTTTAATAAAACCTGTTGTTTCTTTCTATTTTAGCTATGCCTTTGAATTTTAAAGCTAGTCAAGGCTTGTACACATCTGAGCAACTTGAAATAGCACTAACCCTTTATCTTTTTGTCCCACGGGCTTATGCACACCTGCAAGAAATGCAAATTACTCTACCATGCCCAAAGACTTTACAAAGGTGAGATAATCTTGTTTGAAATTCATCTTGTGACTATTTTTTGTTTTTAACATATTGACACAAAAAATATAGTGAAAAATTTTCTTTTAAAATAAAAACAAAAATATATTTATACACATCCGTTGTGTCACATATGATACATGCATAGGTGACCATGTATCTTTCAATATATGACCCATAAGGCAAAAGATTTTTCCCACATAAGGTTGCCATTTCTTTCTATGGTAGAATGGTTGCCAACCAAAGCTAAAGAACCCAGTCTGTCTTGCTATTCAACCCATAGCTGGGGGAGAAGATCTGTATTCCTCCCTTTCCCTAAGGTATTTGTGCATAAATGAATATAACAAACATGACTGGAATTCAAACTCAGCTCTCCAAGTTCTCATTATACTCATAGAGATTTTTAAATAGAAAATTCCTTTTTGCCTTGGTGTGATATAGATTTTTGTCTTATGTCAGTACACCATGGAAAGCAGTAGTGCATTCATCTTACAAGCCAACTCTTAGCATTTGTTCCTTGCTGTGATTACTTTTGATGTGGTTTTCTGCACAAGTCTAACAAATATCTTTGAATAAGTATATAACTGATTTCCAGGAACTTTTTGCTTGGGTTTTAAATCTGTTTTTTTTTTTTCTTTTTTTTTTTTTAAACACTCAATTTTCCGCAAGCAGTTCCACATGGTTTCTGAGACTGAAATTGATTTCCAAGTAAAGAATGTTGTCTTAGGTAGACATTAACAAAGTTATGTAATTTCACTTAAAGCTTATAACACAGTTCTTTAAACATATTATATTTATGCAGCAATTGTCTGTTTAAAGACGGCTTATCAAATAGAATAGATGGTTTATATCTGTTCTGAGTCCTTTTGTGTGTTTCTTTTGATGTCAGATAGAAATTTGGAAAAAAGAAGAAGAAAAAAAAGAAAGTCTTCTATGTATTTTTGTCGAAAGAAAGTAGTTTTGAGAAGGTAGCTGCTAGAATGTTTATGATGATCAATGCCACTGAAACTGTGCAGATATGTCTATTTCAAGAGTCCTAGAAAGATTTGCTTGACCACTGACACACTTTGTGGCCAAGTGGTTTAAAGTATGTCAGGTCTAATGACGCTTTCCATGAGGGGAACAGAGGTTTGAATCCTGCTGGAGAGAGCATATTTTAGTATAATAAGATTTCTCAATATCTGTCTATATTTCAGAGATGAGATATTATGTACACTATTTACATTATTCGGACTATTGTCCTCATCTTTGTCGCCATATTTATTACAATGTTTCAGCCTTTCAGTATCTGTCTATATTTCTCAGATGAGGTATTATGTACACTATTTACATTATTTGGACTATTGTCCTCATCTTTGTCGCCATATTTATTACAACGTTTCAGCCTTTCAGTATCTGCCTATATTTCTCAGATGAGGTATTATGTACACTATTTACATTATTCGGACTATTGTCCTCATCTTTGTTGCCATATTTATTACAAGGTTTTGGCTGTTGTACACTCCGGCCTTCTTCAGGTGACTGGAATGTCAAACTGAACCCTTTATATTGCTTGCTGGGGTAGACTGTTCTAGTTCCACATGCCATGACTAATGAATGTCAGTTATCAGTTATCTATTGTGTCATGTGTCCTTAAGGGCAAATGGCACAGTGGATAAAGGCATTGATTAGATCCAGTGACAAGACTCAAAGAGTTGTGAGTTCAATACCTGGTTAAGGCAGTGGAGAACTTGGAGAGGTGAATTAACAGGAGATAACTAATAACTGATATCCATTAGTCATGGCACTTGGAACTAGACCAGTCTACCCCAGCAAGTGAAATAAAGGGTTCAGTTTGACATTCCAGTTACCTGAAGAAGGCCAGAGCGTACAATGGCTGAAACGTGATAAATATGGCAACAAGGTTGATGACAATAGTTCAAATAATGTAAATAGTGTACATAATACCTCATCTCTGAAATATAGACAAATTAATTTTAATACCACCAAAACAAAACTCCTCTCTAGTAATTACCTGAAAGACTCTTTATTTCGCTCACTGGGGTAAACTGTTCTAGTTCTGCATGACATGTTTAATGGATGTCACTTATCAGTTATCTCCTGTTAATTCCCCTCTCCAAGTTCTCCACTGCCTTAACCGAGTATTGAACTCACAACTCTTTGGGTTCTGTCACTGGATCTAACCAGTGTCTTTATCCACTGTGCCATGTGTTCTCAAATATTCATATTGGTAGATGAAAATAAATAAATCTACTGTTTAATAAATAAATGGAGCTTCTACTCAAATATGAGTATCCACTAAAAATAACGTTTAAAGTGATTAAAAATCTGTTGGGTTAATAAATAAAAAATCTATCCATGTTTTTTTTATTTAAAAAAATTTTTTTTTTTAGAAATTAAAATGAAATGCAATTTTTTATATTAAGATATTTTATTTTCTCATCCCATTTTATTTTACTTTCAGTTGGTTATGCCATACAGATGGTTCTCCTGGCTTCCTGGAACAAATATTCTCTCTTCTACATGAAAAGGTCAAAGGTGAACATGGTTCCCAATTTAATTCTTGCTCTCTTCTCATGGAATGCATTCCTCTGAGAAAGGGAATGCATTGGGATGATTCCTCTGGGAAACTTAATGGCTACGTTGATTATGGATTCAAGCTGAATTCCAGTCTGGGGGACAATCAGGCTATTGCTTGCCAAGTATTGGTTCTAATGGCTGTTGGCATAACAGGGCATTGGAAACTGCCTCTCGGATATTTCTTCCTTGATGGGCAACCATTAGATGTCTTGGGAGAGATTGTTAAAAATGCTTTTCTATTGCTTGACAGAATTGGGGTTTCAGCCATTGCTCTTGTGTTGGATGGCCTCACAGCTGATCACAAGTTACTGGAACTTTTGGGTGGATGTGTTACTCCAGGTAAACTTAAATGTACATTTCCCCATCCTTCTGGTTCTGGGGAGGAAGTTTTTGCTTTCTTTGATGTTCACCACTTGTTACTGCTTACGAAAAATACTTTTGCTCAGAACAAAGATGTACACATCCCAAATCATGGCATTGCCTCTTGGGAGCATATCATTCGTTTGAAAAAGATCCTAGATGAACCTAGTCCTTGTTCAGTGACTAAATTGAATACAAAGCAACTTTTTCATCGTCAGAAAGTGAAAATGCAAATATCAACTGAACCTCTAACAGCATCTGTGGCAAATACACTACAGATTTTACGAAATGGTAAGACGCTTGGGTTTCTGGAGTCAGAAGGAACTGAAGTCTTCATCAAGCTTTTTGATCTTCTATTTCAGATCTTCAGTTCTCAAAATCTTTATGCCAAAGGTTATCAAGCTGCCATGACATCACAGCAATTCAGTTTTATCCGTGGATTCTTAGACTTTGCTGAGAAGACTCTTGGAGCCATGAAAAATAGTGCTGGTGAAAAAATAATTGAAACCAAAAACAACTTGTTTATTGTGGGTTTTCTTTTGAATATCCAGAGTCTCCGTCAAATATGTGAGCAATTTTTGGTAACAGAAAAGCTAAAGCATCTTCTGATGTTCAAGTTTCAGCATTTTCATCTGAAATCTTTTCTTTCTTGCCTGCAGAGTTACAGCAAATACCATGATGCCTTACTTACAGCACACCAATTCCAAGCCAATTTCAAAGATGTCCTGGAAATCAGTGTGGGAAAAGTAACCTTTCTTATGGATATATTCAGCCATAGAGATGCAAACCTTGTCAGTATCACAAATAGTATGGATCACAGGAATAGTCATATTATTACATTTATAGATAAACAGCTTAGTATTGATTTCAGTACCAGTGGGTGGCAGATGAAAAACTTGTTGAAGCTCTCAAGTTTAGTTGATGATGTGATTGTATTCTGGGCTAGGAAAATGCTGTTGAGATTAGCAAAGTCATTAAAGTGCCTAGACTGTTTAGAAACTTGTGTTGATAAAGTCAGCATTGTGTCTGGCCAGATTATGATGAACCGTGGTCTGTTACAACTTGAGGGCAATTGGGGTCTGGTAGCACCATCTTTGGACTTTCTTACAATTCTGAGGACAATCAAAACAGTCTTGAATGCAATTCTGACTGAATCTGGGTCTGTTGACAATGGAACAGAGAACAAAAGAAAACAAATTGAAATGAAAGTTTTAGAAACTGTTCGACCAAGTTTCTTTGTTAGGAATGCAGAACACATGCTGGCAACTGCATCTAGTCTTGACAATCACTTATTTGCTCTAATAAGGTTAATCTGCAAAGAATACCTTTCATTGTGTGGACATTGATTATCTGCAGTGTTACTTATTTAGGTTTTTGTCTTACATTTAATTTTTTTACTGTGAAGCTGGGGTTTTTTGCCTGTATGCATTTTATGACCAGTTAAACAGCTGGATCCTGGCAGCTGAAAATGAATCTACAAGAGTAAGTTGACTTGAAAATGAAACACAGGGAATATGCGATGCTAACCATTCTAACAATCACATTCCTTTCTGAAAAATTAGACTTAAAACCATATCATGTGGAAACAATGGTTCTTGTACGATGACCAAAGTTAAGCAAGATCTAGATGGGTGACCATTTGTAATACCAGGTGTTATAAGCTTGGATGTGTGGGTGGTTTAATAGATAATGGCTTGGAATTGGACAACCGAGTTCCAATTCCAGTCGGGTTCATTATATTCACTTACATGCAGATATCCTAGGGAAAAGTATGAATCCATAATTAATAGGATTTGTATCGGTAAATCGTTATTGCAAAAAAATTCTTACAAATATTTTTTGTCGTTAAATAACATGCAAAATGTTGATAAGCTGTAAAAAAACAAAAAACAAATCAGTCCTTCTGAAAGATTATCAAGGGTTAAATCTAAGTAAAATAAACAACAGTATAATTTAATAAAATTTGCAAATCCTACTTGGGTTGTGAGATTAAACTAGAAGTAGCTAATTGGGCTAATTGGATTAAATTTTAATTGGTCTTTCTTCTTCTTAGTCAATACATTTAGCCCAGAAAATTTTGAAAGTTGAAAGTAGCAAAATTCAAAATTTAATAGTGTTGTTTTCATAGATTTTTTTTTTGTTAATCATTTCACCCCAAGCATGATGAGAATGTCCCTAGTACATAGGGGGTTACAGGGAGTGAAAGTGAAGGAAGACTGAGTATAGGGAGGATTGGGGAAAGCACAAAAGATGAACTGGATACAAGAAGATAGAATTAGTTCAATATAGCAACACTGGATTACACCCATAATATCAGTGATTTTTTTTTTTATATAAATTAGTCTGACATGTTAAATGCTCATAATTTTTTTCCATCTAGAATCATCAGTTTCTGAAATATTTATGTTGTATCTCAAAAAAAAAAAAAAAGATAAAATAGTATATTTATCTTGTTGAACAATTTGCATTATTTTCTTTTGTCATTTTTAATTTTTAAATCATTTTTCACAACAGTTCCACAAACTGAAGATATTCTTTTGTTGTTATTTTACAGACAAATCCTTGTAAATAAACATTCAATCATAAAGCTGTCTTGTGTGCATCTGATTTTTTTTTATGATAAAATTCTTACATAATGTCTTTGAAATGAAAATTAGTTTCTATAAATTTAAAGAATTCTTGATTAGAACTAACAGCTTCAATCATATCTGCTATACTGTTTTTTGTAATTACTATGTATAGCTTCAAAAAGACTTACTGCTGTGAAAATTTAAAATTGTATATATAAAATTAAGTAAAAAATATATTTTTCTAATGTCAAAATTATTCATACATGTTAGATTACATGGTAATGCTGAAATATAGTGTTAAAAACAAATCCTTTAGTTAGTAAGGTCAAAGACCTCTTCTTGTTATTGTCTAAACTTAACCTAGTTTGGCACAAGGCAAAATGAGGACTTGTAAGGGGATAATATGGTGTTGTTGAGCTATGGTATTGTTGAGTGGATTTTCTATCTTTAGAATCAGCTTCTAAAATCCTGGCTTTTACATGGGCACTTCTAGCAATCTATCATATATATATATATGTGTGTGTGTGTGTGTGTGTATAAGGATAAGGAACAAATAAGAAATGTTTTGCTCTTATTTAAGCTTCATAAGAAAATGAAATGTGAAGGAGAAAAGAAAAATCTGTTTTTTCATATTCTGATGAAGCTAAAATAAAAATGAATTTTTGAATTTTTAAATGTTTCCTTTTGTTCCTTATCCTATCACTCTATTAGATTTTTATCTATATTTAATCTGTATCACAATTCATATATATATATATATATATATATATATATATATATATATATATATGTGTGTGTCTACATTTGGCCATGATCTCAGAGCTCCTGTTCAACAACAGCCTTTATGTTGCAATAGCTAGCTTCTCCTCCTGACACAGCCTAAACGAGTTGCCATTCACTTTGTTAGCCTTTACATTTCGTAAAATAATCCATTTTAATGGATGGCTTCTGTTATGCTTATTCCTAAAGCTCCAATAATGATTTGCCAGCTTCATGTTGATCTTGCCTTCTGGAATTCTAAAAGATACCATGTTCTCACTTTTTTAAGATATTAAATCGCTCTGCAAGTTTGGTTTTCCTACTTGAAATTGAGCACTTTTTAACATGTACAATTTTAACAAATTTTTCATTGTTTATTTATTTATTACACACACACACACACATATATTAAAAAGTGAGTTGTTCTAAATTTTGATGTAGTTCAGGTGTTGTTGAAATTTAATTTTATCTTTAATTTGCATATGACAGCAGGGAGTAGATTGCTCAAACAGTCAAAACTTAGGTATATTTTAGAGTATAGTTCTACATTTCTAAATGTTTTACTGATTAGTAGTTTTGGTAGTGTTTTCTATGTCATCTTCTGGAATTTTCCATATCCCCAAGTGTCTTGGATGTTCTTCAGACCAGGTGTTGGTTATTACTTGATCATTTACTGTGCACCACCTTCATAGCAAAATGTCAAAGAAAGCAGGTGTAAATGGATGCAGATTCCATTGGGTAATCCAGTTAATGAGCCACATATTTTATCATTAGGATTCTAATGAACAGATCTTGAAGCAGAATTAAGCTGGAAAGTATTATTCAAGACACAAGAAGAAATGCTATTTTTAAGATCAGAATGCTGGTTTTCATAGAATGCATAAAAACATTTAATAATATCCGACATAAAGAGCTACTTGAAATACTAGAAAAGCTTGATTTGCTTGGGAAAGTTATACAGTGAGATGATCCTAAGAGAACTAGATGACCTACCAGGATTTATTATTTTTGGACATAATCTTAGTAACAAGTGATATGTGAATGATATTCTCTTGTATGGAAAACTCTGAAAAAAACTGTATGAACACTTAGACAAAGTAGGAATGGATAGCAAGAAAAAAATCTGTTGGAAAGAAAACAGAATGCATGGTTGTCAGCAAAAGAGACAAATATATAAGCTACATATTGGGGATGTCAAAATCAAGCAGGTGTAGAAATTTATCTGGGTAGCAAAGTAAAATAGGGTGGAAAATATATCCAAATGTGTATATGAATGGTAGAAGATGCCTTCCAGAAAGTATTAAGAGATAGGAAAATGTCCCTAGAAATGAAGAAAATAATTTTGATTTGCTATATAAGATCTAATTTTTGATATGGAAGTGATTACTGGACAACTTCCTTACAGATGAAGAAGAGACTGAAAGTGACAGGGATGGTTTAACCAACAAATGCTGAGAATCTCATGGACAGAACATGTGACAAATGAGGAAGTTTTACAAAAAATAGGAACTTCAAAGCAACTGATAATTACAATCAGAAAGAGACAGGTGACATTTCTGGGATGGATAATGAGGAAAGAAGGCTTGGAGAATTTGATATCCACAGAAAATATTGAAGGCAAAAAAACGAGTAGCCTACTCAACGAGTCTAAATGGCTGGCAGAACAGGGAACAAAACTTACTTAGAGCAACCAGAGACAGGAAGTTGTAGCGTGTAAAAGAAGAAACCTTATCAATTGCAATATAAGCTGGAGATGTCAACATCTGCTGTTTGGTTCTGTTTCTTTGTTTCTCTTCATATTGGTTTGTGATGATCTAACCTGAGATTTTAATATTACAGGTATTTCTATGGTTTTATGGATGGTAGGCATGGTGAAGTAATGGACAGAACCGAGTTTGAATTCTAGTCGAATTTATTAGATTCACTTATGTGCTAATACCCTTGGGAAAGGTATGAATCCTTGTCTTCTCCCCCCCAGCTATGGGTAAATAGCAGGACAGACCAAGTTCTATAGCTTTGGATGGCAAATGATCTACTGCAGAAAGAAATGGCAACCTACTGCGGGAAAAAACTCTGCCTCGTCAGTTATGTACCGAAAGATACATGATCGCCTAAGCGTGTATCACGCATGGCATGTAACTGACTTTTCTCTTCTGTTGGCATGGAAGAGTTATCCAATGCTATAGTGCCTCCATAAGGATTGTTCTTTCTCTAGATTCTATACATTATGGTGAAGAACACGTTTTTTGTCCTGTCATTTCTTTTATTCTATTTTTTTTAAATATTCTTTTTTTAAAAAGTTAACTGACTTTATTTTTAATGTCACGTCTCTTCGTGATGTAGACGATCACAGTTTTCCACAGATTCTTTATTATCTGTGGATTTACGGCCATATATCGTTGAAACACCGGTTCCCGTACAATCACTGGTTAAGCAACATCGAGCCTTGTCAGTACCTAGATGGGTAACCGTTTGGGAATACCAGGTGCTGCAAGCTTGGATGTGCAGGTAGTGTAGTGGACAACAGCTCGGCACTGTTAATCGGAGAGCCGAGTTCTAATTCCTGTTACGTTCTTTATATTCACTTACTCGAAAATACCCTTGGGAAAGGTATGAATCCACCTCTTCTCCTCCCAGCTATGGGTTAATTAGTAAGACTTGTATCCCTAAACCATTACTATCTAAAAAATATACTTACAATCTAAAAACAAACATTTTCTGGTTATAAATAAATTATATAAGGGTTGATAAGCCGTAAAAAACGAATCAATCCATCAAAATTGATTATCTTTGAATCACCGTAACTTCTTTAGAAAAATACTGTGGTTTTCCGTTACCAATTTTTAATTTCTGGAAAAGTCTCTTTCCTGTATTAGCTACTACCAAGGCTAGAGAGCCCAGTGTACCCTACCTCTTTATTTAATTTAGTAAACCACAAAATATCTTCTGGACAACAAATTTAATACTTAAGATAAACTAGTTTGTCTTTTGCTTCTTAAAGTTTCTATCATCACCAATTTATTCAGTTTTATACTTTAAAAATCAATTCACCCCAAGGAAAGCGATAATTCCACTAAGATGAAATGGGCCACTGGGAATGAAAGAGATTGAAAAGAAGTTTAGAACGAACCGGAAATCCAATCCTAAACAGGAATGAAGACATAAACCTCTTGGTCAAAAGACCGAGAGGTGTGTGAATCGGACGATTGCCGAGGGAGTCAAAAGTGTATACAGTAATAACGGTGTCAAGAGAATAACACTACTTTTGACAGGTCGTTCTTTTACGGGCACGCAGGTTAAACATTGCTGTAGTTTTTATATATTTTCACCTTAATATATTCTCTTTTAATGAAAACGGCATTTTTTAATTCGAAATTATGGCTAGTCTCATTACGATGAACGACTAATACATTAAATGTGTTGTTTCGTAAAAGATCACCTTTGTCTTTAAATTCCTAGATGTTTCACCTATGTATTTCTTGGGATAGTCACAGTCTATAGGTTTATACAGCCTTAAATATGCTTAAACATAATAATTGTTTTCGTAATGGTTCATGGCGCTGGTAATAGTACAGTGGTTAACTTGTTAGTCTCTGAAGTTGTTGAGACACTTTGATCCTAGGAAAAGTGTACCTATCAACAGAAGTGTCACGCTATACGACGTAAATTTTCTCTTTATTTTTACGGGTACTATGCAAGTAATAATATAATGGACGAGTACAGACTCGAGTTTGAGCAAGAAAGTGGACAAGATCTTAAAATCTAGTTTTACTGGCTGAAGAGAATTTCAATCCAGAGATGATCACGAAATGCCCTCACACTAAATAAACACGAACCTCAATATCTACATGCAGCCTATGTTTGCAAAAATAAAACCAAAAAAAATGTAATAACTCTAGATTTAGGCCAGGTATACAATGACTTTTATTTTTATATTTATGTAATGGCTAGAATGAGGTGACTTTTTCGCTTTCCATCACACTGCTAAATTCGTGTCAAAAATTGTTAATTTCATGGACGTTACAAAGGAGAATACTAAATTCAATTATATTTTGTGTTCCTTTTTCTAAGGTGTTATATCTAAGATAAGAGAACACTAAATTTAGTTGTAACACCTTAGAAAGGAGAACACTAAATTTAGTTGTAACACCTTAGAAAGGAGACAACTAAATTTAGTTGTAACACCTTAGAAAAAGGTTGTAACACCTTAGAGAACACTAAATTTAGTTGTAACACCTAAATAGAAAGGAGACAACTAAATTTTAGTTGTAACACCTTAACACCTTAGAAAGAGAACAATAAATTTAGAAAGGAGAACACTAAATTTAGTTGTAACACCTTAGAAAGGAGAACACTAAATTTAGTTGTAACACCTTAGAAAGGAGACAACTAAATTTAGTTGTAACACCTTAGAAAGGAGAACACTAAATTTAGTTGTAACACCTTAGAAAGGAGAACACTAAATTTAATTGTAACACCTTAGAAAGGAGAACATTAAATTCAGCTGCAATTTCATTGAAAGGAAGATAGAAAATTTTAGAAAGAGGAACATTAAATTCAGTTGTTAATCCAACACTAAATTTAGTTGTAACGCCTTAGAAAGCAGGACATTAAGTTGTAAGACATTAGAAAGGAGGACTCAAAATTTAGTATAAAACTGTAGAAAGGAGAACATTAAATTCAGCCGTTAATCCATAGAAACAAAAATATGAAATTTAGATGTAGCACCTTAGAATTGATAACATTAAATTCACTTGTAAGACGTGAGAAACGGGAACACGAAATTCAGTTTTTCTCCGACCTCTTTTGTTACGCCACAATTACCAAAGTTATTTTGTTAAACAAAAAACCACTTAACTCTTTTCAATATTTACAATGACTAAGATTGACTTACTTTCCTTCCATTGTATACTATCCACTTTTTTCTTTCTTTCTTTCTTTTGTCTTTTTCTATTTCTTTCTTTATTCTCTTCCTTTCTTTTTTCGAATTTTTTTTTCTTTGTCTGTTCATCTTTCTTTCTTTCTTTCTTTTTAATGCCATGTCCCTTCAGCACGTGGACGATCATAGTTTCCCATAGATTCTTTATTATCTGCGAATCGTCATAACCTCTTGAGAAAAGTATTGGGGTGGTTTTCTTTTGCCATTTTAAAATTGCGAGTAATTCTTTTCCTGTTACCACCAAGGCTAGTGTTCTCAGTCTACCCTTGAGAACATTTTAAAATGCTACGTCTGTTCAGGAAAGGGAAATAACTCCAAGGCGAGAAGAAAAAGAAACAAAAACAAAAACAAAAAAAAACACTAATCCTGTTTCCAATATACTAGATTCATTATTCATGGATTCTCCAGGTACGGTCTGATGTCGGGAGTAGGTAGGTGACACTTGGTCACTGCTATTTCTGTCTTCTCTCACAACAGACTAACGGACCCTGAACTATCTTAATTGTTTCTTTCTCCCTTTACTCTGACTACCCGTGACTTTACACCTCAACCAACAGCCTTTTATCGTGGTTCCTCCCCTCCTCCTTGTAATTGTCTCTACATCCTGACCGCGACTGTCTCCGACTGTCATATCTACATCACCGACTGACTTCCTGTTATCCCTTAACGGCCGGCTTTCTCTGGCTTCCGCTTTCTTTTATGTGTCGTGTCCTTTCAAGACGTAGGCGATCATGGCTCTCCACTTCTTCCCTACCCCTTGTAGCTCTCAATAAGTTTTGTCCCCCTGCTACTTCCCCCAGGCCCTGTTTTGTTATCGACCCGCCCAAGCCCTCTAGGTATGTCATGCGTTGCCTTCCCTTGTTTCTCTTTTCCTCTATTCGACCTGTGAGTATCGGATTCTCCAAGCCCTCCTTTCTCATTACGTGTCCCCAAAACTTCAGCTGCCTCTTTCTGATGTTAAGCATACGCTTCCTCCTTGCATGCATCCTTTCCCAAACCTTATCGTTGCTCACACGCTCGGTCCATGATATCCTTAGCACCCTTCTCTGACTTACTTTAACCATAACTATATATTTTAATGGCATTCTGAACTTGAGAAAAGATGATGTCTTTTGTCGAAGTTTCAGAAAACTAATGGATTTTAAGTTTAATTGAAAAAATGTAAATGTTTTTTTTTTTAAGTAATATAATAATTTACTATAATTTGCAATTCTATTTTATTTATTATATTGTCGGAGTTAGCTCCTTCTTAATTCCCTAATTATTCACTAGGGGTCACTCTCCCTATACTATAAATACTGGGTGACTTCTCGCTTTGTTCCCTTTTTCATTTCTTTATTTCAGCGAACACCTCTACAATGTGAGCTCTCGCAAAGATAGCGTTTCCCACTTGTGGGAAAACGCCATGAACATTATACACGTACGTATGAACATTCATCAAAGAACAAACACAAATGTTCACACACACGCAAATGTTATTGTCTATGTCCCTTGTAAATCTTGATGTTTAATACATATTTGTTGACATATATATGTCGATCTTGTTTGTTTGTCTTCTTTCATCTTCGGTTGGAATAAATATGAGTTCGCCATTTTCTTGTAGTTGGACCTTTCTAGCAGGAAATAAAAAAAAAAGCACGCGTGTCCTCTACAATATATATTATGATTTATTTATTTGAAGTTATATATGTAATATTTATTATTATTTCTTTTAACTTTTCCCACATCGGGTTTTTCTGTTAAAAACAAGAACATCTCCTCTTGTATACCCACTAAAATAATGTTTACAGAAATAAGAAACGTATATAGGATTAATACAAATAAAATGACGCTCAGAACTTGAGGAAAAATGACGTGTTTTGTCGAAGCTTCAAAAAATTAACAGATTTTAAGTTTATGTAAAAAAATGTAAATATTGCTTAAAACTAAAATTTATAATTTGCAATTATTTTTATTTTATTTTATTCCCTTTATTAGTATTTCTTTCAATCTTTTCCACACTTACCGAGTTTTTCTGTATTAATATTTATTTGTTTATGTACAACTAACCTGAAGATCTTTTGTCTTATTTTTATTTTCTGGTTTTTCTTACCTAAATTTATATTTATCAACTTTGTATTTTCTACTCTCGTTCATTTCTTATCAATTGATAATTTACGTGTTAGTTCTGACAAAAAAGTCAGTATGAATGATTTTATTTTTATGTTAAATAATGACTTCATGATCTCTGAGTGTTTTAGGTTTAAATCCTGATTTTATATTTTTAGTTTTTGTTTTTCTGCTGTCTTTTTCTAAAATTAACAAACTTTTCGATATTTGTGTTTGTTTATTTATGTACATCTATTTCATAATTTGCTTTACTTTCTAGTGTTGTTGTTTAACTAACGTTTTATTATATGTTTACAAACAAACATTAATTTTTTGAGAGCTTCTAAAAAACGTAAATGTATATAATGTTTATATGCGTACATGATTTATGTTCTAAAGGTTGTCATAGCCAGGGGTGATGGTGGGGACAAGCTCACACTGTCTATAAAATGCTTCCTTAACATGCAT